ACTCTAACAGTGGTAATGATGAACTTCTGCTAGCCAAAATGGTGCCCTAATGCAGTCCCATATGGCCAGTGGCACACATTTGCAAAACAGCTTACTGAATTTTGGCATGTGGTTTGTGGCTACGGAAAACAGTCTTTGAGCTTATGAAGTTACCTGATCTTCAAGAATAATTTTCACATTAGCACTTTATGTAGCCAGGCTGATTGGCTATATGGTGTTGCAATCATTGTTGTATGGATTTGAAAATCTGTATTGTGCAGCTAGGTGGTACAGTGGATATGGTGCTAGGCCTGTACTCAGGAAGACTCGTTTTCCTGAGTTCACACCTGGCTTCAGACACTTAGTAGCTGTGAGACCCTGCGCAAGTCACTTAACCCTATTTACCTCAGTTCCTCATATGTAAAATGAGCTGTAGAAGGAAATAGCAAACCACACCAGTATCTTTGCCAAGAAAACTCCAAATAAGGTCACAAAGAGTTGGTAATGACTGAATGACAATTGTGCAGAAATACTCATGTATATATAGGAGGCTGAGTTCATGTTCTCAGTGTTTTACTGTTTGAAAAACATTAACTGCAATAAACTCAGATATGTCATTGCAGAGAAAATGTACTTGAACCAAATGAGGTTATTCACCAAATAATTTGAATCCCTATTTGTACATAATACTGTAATACAAATGAAGTATGAGTCAAAGAAGATCTTGCTGATTCAACTACGTTGCATTTTCATTTAGAAAGAGTGATTATTGGACACATGCTGTAATTTAGGAATTAAAATTTCACAGTATAGACATAGATCAGGTAAGCTTTACTACTATTGGTTCATTAGGCATTCCACAGTGTTTTAAGAATGAAAATTATTTGAATTTGCAGTGACGTTAAAAGGTATCTTAGTTTATGCCATGTATCTCTATATACATTTATAGACAGCACACTTTTTTGCTCCAGTGCGCTCCTGGAGCCTGGGTTGCAAAGTAGAATGAATAAAAGCAATTCAGCATTTTTCTCCTCTTGCTGTTTTGTAGGGAAAACATTTAGGGATTTTTTAACCTCTAAGTCGTGCATATACATAGGTAAGGCATACTTTTGATTAAGCGTGCAATAAGTTGTTTGGAACATGTCCCAAGTATGGCAGAAACTACCAGAGAGAAAAAAGAGTTGAGGAGAGGAGAGATATAGCTCTGTTTTAAGTAAGTGGTGAATTAGCAGTGTAGTGAAAAAGTGGAAACTGCCTTTTTTAAGGCAGTACACTTATAAACTGTTATTTCTCCTTCTGTTAGCTTTTGATTTAAGCTCTGTGAAGCAGTACTTTCACTTACCCATATTGATATTTCAGTAATCATTCCTGTATATTAAGTAATAATTACCCTTGGGCTAAGGGCCATTTTCAGTAGAATTTGCAAATATAATTTGTTTCTTAGGAAAACTTGTAAATGATGTATAGACTGTTTATATATCTATATGCATATATGTGTAGTGTATCCCCTGTGATGAACTACAACATCATATTCTCTGATAACCTAGTGTATTTGTACTATTTCTAAAGTTCTTATTTCATGCATTTTGTTTTTTAAAGTTTTTCGAATAACTAAGATTAAGCTGCTAGATTAGTTTAAATTTGATTGTCAGTAAGCCTGTTTTGACAAATATAATATCTGAAATAGACTTTAGATCTATTTTTCCAAAGTACTGGCCAGTCTTATTATTCAATCCTAATATTTCATGACATTGAAAATATATTACTTTTAATTACTAAAGGATTAGGAGAGCCTGTTGATTTTTTATTTAATTTTTCTATAGCCAAAAAAAAAGCTCTCTTGGACAAAGTAAAATTGAAAAATAGTATTCCATAATGAATTCAAATTTTGAATTTGAATCAGAATTAAGATTGTGTGTACAAGCGTGTGTTATGTATATATGAATACGTATGAATATATACATACGTGGTTTCAAAAGTCTAAGGATTTTGGGATACCCTGCATATATGCATGTGTGTTTAAACATCTGTATACATAAACTGTATTTGTAAGCATGTATGTATACACATACGTGCATGTTTAGACACCCCCCTCACACAGTTATTCAGTATGGCAAAATAAAAGGGAAGGTGTGAATACACATATATGTTAACAATTTGGATTTCCTTGGATTTTTTTTTGTTTTTTTTTCTTTTAATATTTTAGTGTTCTATAATTCTTCCCACTGTATGAGAAGATGGAAATTATTTTGTTTCAAATTATCAGAAGAATGGATTACAGAATCACAGAGCTGGAAGGAACCTCAGAGGCCATCTAGTACAACCTGTATTTGACCAAGAATCTCTTCTACAATTTCTCCAACAAGTATTGATCCAAACTCTGCTTAAAGATCTACAGTGAAGGGGAACTCAGTAAACTCTAGGCTACTCAGTGTCACTTTTGGGAAGTTATAATCATTAGGAAGATTTACCTTCTATTGGGCATCTCTGCTACTTTGAAATCATAGATTTAGAGTGGTAAGGGACATTAGAGGCTGTCTAGTCCAATAACCTTGTTTTATAGATGAGGAAACTGTGACCCAAAGAGATTAAACACAGGTAGTGTTAGAAGTTGAACTTGAGCTCAGGCCCACAGACTCTAGAGCCAGTACTTTTTACACTCTACCACACTGTTTTTCTTCTACCCGTTACTCCTAACTCTGGAGCCAAGCAGAATAAGTCTCAAGACTATTTCCATGTAGTAGATTCTTGAAGACCATGATTATCACCCCACTAAAGCGGTTCTCTTCTCCGGGTTAAAAATCCGTCTGGTCCTTTCACCATTATGATTGCCTCTTTTTGAATGAGCTCTACTTTGGCTTTGTGGTATCCATAACTGAACACCCCAGATATGGGCTGATTAGGGCAATATGGCAGAACTATGATCACTTTTATTCTGGATCCTTTAAAAATGTTTTTAAAACTAGATCTGTGATTTCATGATTTAGGGCGCTTGCAAAAAGGAACTTTCTCTGCTAAGTTTGTCAGTTTATAGAATTCTTAGAGAATTATTTGCATATTCAGAGGTTAAGTGACTTGTCCTCAGGGTCATGCAATGTGAATATGTCAGAGGTAAGACTTGAACTCAGGTCTTTCTGAGTCCAAGGCCAACTCACTACAATGCCATCTTGCCTTTCTTAAGGCAGTTAGGATAACATGAACTTTTTTGGCTATGTTATACAGTTTACTTATTGATAGCTTGCAGTCCACTAAATACCTGATACTTTTTTCCTCCAAGAATTGTTGTCTAAACAAGCAGTTGACATTTTGAACCCGTATATAGAACTTATCTCTATTGATTTTCATTTTATTTGATTCAGCCCTTGCAGATTTTTTTTTTGGGGATACTGATTCTATCAGTCAGTATTAGTTACCCTTCCCAGCGTTACCTGTCTGCATATTTGACAAGCATGCTATCTATGGTTTCATCCAAATTGCTGATTAAAAATGTTGGACATCAGAGGACCAAGGAAAGGGTAGCAGTCCACTAGATACTTCTTTTCAAGATGACGACTTGTCAATGAACAGGTTTTGAGTTTCCATAACTTTTCTCAGTTTACTTAATCATGTTATCATCTAATCTATATCTTGCCATGTTGTCCATTAGGATTTCATGAGTTTTATTACTTTGCTTTAAAAAAATATACAAAAGTATTTTACCTTTTTTAAAAACTGAGAGCTCCTACTTTTGTTCATTCGGCACACATTTAGCAGGGCATTGTGCAGTGAGCCTCAGAAGTTACCAAATTTGGATAGATATCTACTTTAATGAAGCTTGCCATGTAGTATTTCTTTCTTTTTTTTTTGTGAGGCAATTGGGGTTAAGTGACTTGCCCAAAGTCACACAGCTAGTGAGTATCATGTGTCTGAGGCCCGATTTGAACTCAGGTCCTCTTGACCACAGGGCCAGTTCTCTATCCATTGTGCCACCTAGCTGCCCCATCTAGTATTTATTTCAATTTGAAAAGTTGTTTTTTTTTTTTTTGCAAGACTGTTCTAGGCATAGAGACAAAAATGTGAGTCTTTGCCTTCAAGGTCCTTACATTCTACTGGATAGGACAAAAATACATAGTGAAGACAAGACACTCATCATAATATTCATTATGTGAGAGGTGGCAAAAAATTCTATGTGAGATCTTACAGGGAAAAAGTCTTTTGATGGGGAATCATGGAAAGTTTCAGGGATAAGGTGGCATTTGAAGGTGGACTTTAAAAGATAAAGTAGTAGTCAGAAATAGGAGTTGGAGAGGGCATTCTGGCATGGGGTATGTTTTGGGTATAGAGAATTGTTCTTGTTTGATTGCAACATTGAATAAATGAAGGGGAATAATATGATATGAGGTAGAGTAAGTCTCAGATGTTAAATGGCAGGTAAAGGAGTTTGAGTTTTACTCAGGAAATAGGGAATAACTGAAAATTTTTGAGCAGAAGAGTGACCTGACCACATCTTTGTATGAGGAACTTTATTTTGGTAGTGGATATGAAGGATGAATTAGAAAAGTAGAAAAATTGAGGCAGGAAGGTCTGTTAGGAGGTTGTAGCCATAGTCCAGGAGGATAATGCCTATAAAATCTGTTTCTCAACAATTTAAAGAAAAACCCTTTGTAATGCCTGGTGTTTGGAAGTCCTTACAAATAATTGACCCTGAATGATATGAAATCAGTAGACTATATACACCTTAATATCAGGTGGATGTCCTTTTAACATTACAGTTTTTAAACTTGTTTCATACTGTTAACAATTTATATACTTTTTGCTATTGATGTATTGTTATATTTTTTTATAGGGCTTCAAGGTTGGGGAAACCAAAACAGCATAACTTGCAAGCAGTATTCTTTGTTACCTGTAAGAGCTTGCATATTAGGAGTAAGATGATACAATTCAGATAATTGTTTAAGTATGTTTAATCTAGAAGAGTTTATTTAGATATCTTCAAAATATGGGAATGATTAATGCTGTTTATTTTGATTACTTTTTTTCAGGTGATTCATGGCAGGGGACGTGGAAGGGTTTAGTTCCTCCATCCATGACACCAGTGTCTCTGCTGGGTTCAGAGCACTGTATGAGGAGGGATTGCTTCTTGATGTCACACTTGTCATTGAAGATCACCAATTCCAGGCTCATAAAGCACTCCTTGCCACCCAGAGTGACTACTTCAGGATAATGTTCACAGCTGACATGAGGGAGCGAGATCAGGACAAAATTCATTTGAAAGGTCTGACTGCTACAGGCTTCAGCCATGTCCTACAATTCATGTACTATGGAACTATAGAACTGAGTATGAATACTGTTCATGAAATCCTGCAGGCTGCCATGTATGTTCAACTTATAGAAGTGGTGAAGTTCTGCTGCTCTTTTCTCTTAGCCAAAATCTGCTTAGAAAATTGTGCAGAAATTATGAGACTCTTAGATGATTTTGGTGTAAACATCGAGGGAGTCAGGGAGAAGTTGGACTCCTTTCTGCTAGAGAACTTTGTGCCACTAATGTCAAGACCTGACTTCCTGTCCTATCTGAGCTTTGAAAAGCTTATGTCTTATTTGGATAATGACCGTCTGAGCAGGTTCCCAGAGATAGAACTGTACGAGGCTGTTCAGTCTTGGCTGCGGCATGATAGAAGACGCTGGAGACATACCGATACCATCATTCAGAACATCAGGTTTTGTTTGATGACCCCATCCAGTGTTTTTGAGAAGGTTGGTGCATTTGAAAGCAATAGAAAGGATTCCTCATTTAGCTAGGACAGCATGCCTTGCATAGGTGAGAGAGCTGTACCTGTCAGAAAGAGGAAAAATTAGTTTGGCTGATGTATGAAGGAGATTAATTTTTGAGGTATCTAGTTTTTTGAAGATTTTTTTGGTGAAAGATAAGCCAGATAGGTTTTATAGTGTCTTATTAGGATCTAGGTTTTTTTTTTTTCCAAAACTTAACTTTAAATAGGCTTAATCTAAGTAAGATATAAGGTGTTTTCATATAGAATGCTGTGTATTTTCTTCAGCTTTTCTTTTCACAAAGTGACTGACTTTGAAGTGAGGAAAACTGTGTTTAATTTTTTATTGTGACACATTAAAACAGTGAACTTGTTCAATTATGTAGAGATTGAAAGCAGATAAATACTTTAGAGTTTTATGTCACAAAGCACAATATTTCATTGACCATTAAGGAAATATGTTAATCACATACACAATTGTAAGATCATTATTGCTACAGCTAAAAACTAATAAGTATTGGTAGTAATTCTTTATTCATATTACCTAGTCATATTGCTTTGTTTGCATTGTGAATACTGATCAAATTTGACTGTTTAATGTTTCCCTGTAAATAGAGTAGAGGTTTCCTAGTCTCTATTTTGATCAAAATACCTTTTGCACTTTCAGCTGTTTCTATTAACTTAAAAAATAGTCTCTTTTTCTAGAAGATTTTTTTTTACTTTTATGTCCCATGTCTCACTTGTGATTTACTTTTTGCCCAAAGGATAGAAAATAATTTTTGAAATTGCTTAACTTAATTGGCTTCTAGTCGCATTGTTATCTCTAGGGCTTAGTTTGCCTGATCTGTGCTTGCTCTTCTAGATTTATGAAACTCAGTCCCTAAATTAAGCCTTTCCCTAGCATTTATTCTCAGTCATGAAGCTTCTGAAAAGAGATTTCTTTATATTACTAGCTAAATCAGGAAAATTATGACTCTGATACATCATGGTATCTGATATTTTTCAGGGGGAGTGAGGTAGTGGAGAGAATGCTGAAGTGTCATTAACTAATACAGTCACTTAAAAGTTTAAGTTTAAGAGGGTCTAATTATTTAAAATTTGTGAATATAAGAAGCATCTAAAACTAAAGACTACACTACATTTCTTAAATATAATTGCTGATAATCAGTCTTAAATGGCCAACCCTTTCTAAAGGCATTTGTCCTTTTCTGTGATTTACTTTTGATTGATATCTCTTAATCTGCTTGTGTCTTGACCAAAGTTTTAGGTGTGGGGGTTGGAGATGCTTTTGTTGTCCATATTAAATGCTAATTCTTTGTCCACCACTAAAATGTGTAAAAAAATTGCAGCTTCAAATGTGATATAAAACATTAATAGAGCCAGTCTGGCACATTCCTATCACAAAAACAGTCTTTGCATTTTGGCCTTTTGTTGAAAGTCACTGCCAAAAAAATATATTGCTAAGCATGGTTTTCTTAAATTTCTTAGGAATGTCATTGAGACATATTGAAGAACTCATTTAGTGAAGCTTGTAGGAAAATTTGCCTAGATGTATTTTTCTGTACATGAGTTAATAACTAAGATTCTATAATTTGGAATTTCAGACATTAAGAATTTTTTCCTGTAGATCATCTGGAAACTAAACTTCTAAATATAACAAAAATTTTCATTGGGAGGTAATAGAGTTTGCCCTTAGACTCTGCATAGATAACTAATTTTTTAACTCCTTGAAGATAGAGACCATGTCTTCTTCCTTTAAGCCTGAAGTAAACACACCTGAATTGTTTCCAAGGCACTGACTAAAAGTGATGTAGACACTCAGGTTCATATATTGGCTCTCTTGTTTTTTGATCTGTATGATGTTGGTGATGTGATTTCACTTCCTGGGCTTTGGTTTGTACATCCTTAAAATAAGGGTATTAGACTAGATGATTTCCAGGGTCCCTTTTGGCTTTGAAATCCTACCCTATGTTCCATCACTGTTAGACCTTTCCTTGTAATTTGCAGTCCAAATTATACCACAAATGAGGACAGGGATAGTGTTGATTTGTTTGGGGGTTTTGTATTCTTCAAGATTTTGAAAAATGCAGCAGTGATGTAAATTACTTCTGAGCATTTAATATTGTTGTTTGTCATGAGAAGGACCAAGGGATTTTATCATGTAGGGTAAATAATGTAAATTTTTAATAATTTCTGCTAGAGACTCTTGTGCCACCTATTTTAGAGATGAGAAATTTGGGATAACAGTTTTTCTGTCTCTGGTAAAAAACATTTTAAAAATTTGATTAAGTACATGAATAAGTTTTATAAGTAGTCAGTATTTGTCTTTTTTTCATTCAAAATGGTCTCCCTCTTCTGATCTTGAATCCTGCCATTCAATTTTGAATGAGAATAAAACTGTATTAAAGAGTAAAAGGGTAAAAAAGTATCCTTATGGAGAGGTCCAGTATATTGAGACTCTAGAAATTCAGAAAAAAGATTTTTTATTGCCTGGAAACATTCAAACCATATGTATATGCACACAGAGTAAAATTTTCTTATGCATTCCTGAGAACTATGAGGGATGTTATACATGACAGAAAATTATAAATGAAAGGAATTATTTGCATAATTTTCCAGAGCAACATCTCTTCTTCAAGATCCTTTTTCTTTCTCGGGAAGATGAGAAAATATGTGAAATAATTTAACTTAATCTGAAAGTTTATGACAGTGTCGGTCATAATGGGAACAGTTTCAGTATTAAAGGAGTCTGTCTTCAGCCAAGTTGAGTCATCACTAATGCTATTAAATTGAATCATACTACCTGTGTGTGTACTTTAAAAAGAGCCCATTGCTCAGCAGTTTTATTCTCTCACCATCAGTTTTTGTTAGTCCTTTTTTGCTCAGCTAAAAACAGACACCCCTGGTTTTTATATTGGGTGTCTGGGATTATCACTACCCCTCTTTGGGAAAAGAAAAGGGCCCTGAGGAGGTGATCCTAAGCTGGAAACACTGAAAGTGGCATCAAAGACTTTAGTTTAGGGGACTGTGCAAAATTAGAAAAATTCTGACAGTTTTTCAGGAATCTAAGAAATTTGATGGGACTGAAGAGAGGTGGAAAATTTTAAATTGTGAAAATGTAACTGAGGTTTCACTGTAAAATAGAAGAAAATTGAAAATAAAGTAAACTTTTAAGTATACTGGCCCTTTGACATAACTTTTTTTTAAAGTACTCTGATTTGAGTTATCCACAATGCATACCTAATTTGCAAACATTTAATTATGCAAATGATTTTGGATGTGTTTTGCAAGTTCAAGTGAATAACTTCTGTAACTGTCACCACAGATAAGGCCTGACATTTGTCAATTTGAATTTGGTGATGTGGTTATTTAAATAGTCTAACCTTTGCTCTCTATTTGATCTTATGGGTTATTTAAAGTTATTTTATTGAAGTTAACAACTTAGGAAGTAAATATGTGCCCGTTATGCTTGTTATTTTTGTATGGAATATATCTTTATAGTAAAATTGTGAAATCCATTAATTAAAATGACACAATAGATCTTCAGTGCAATGAAATCTTATTAATTTTCACACCTAACATAACTGCATCATAAATATAAGGGTAAGACATACCAACTAACCTCTTAGAAATTATTAGTATGTGCTCAAAATAATAATTTAAATCTTGTATTTTACAAGACAAAGGGATATCTTAATTTTAAATGACTTATAAAATTTTTAAAAGATTCACTTTTATATTTAAACCTTTTTTTCATTAATTTGCTGAAATTAGATTGTTTAAAAATTGTAAGGAAGCTTACATTTGAACCAGTAAGTTATGTAGTTATGTCCTAGTGTGAGTAAGCCTAATGTGTGAAAATTTGAATTTGCAAAAGTTAAATTCAAGAACAATATTTTACATTAAGTAATAGTGCATTATAGGATTCTTTTAAAGTCATGCTCATGAATTGTGTTCAAAATATAACGTGATTTGCAAGTCTTAAAGGAATATCTTTAATACATATAGCACTGGTTTCTCTAAGCTTATAAAATAAAGCCAAGCAGAATTTTAAGGTATGTAACATGGATTTTGTGTATAACAAATTTTTCGTAGAATTTTAAATTGTTTTTCAGTTTAGGATTTTTATAGGCATAGTCATGCTGACTACATTTTATAAAATGTTATAGTTTCCTTATTTCAATGAAATATTTTTGTCATTTGAAAATCTTTTCAGTAGTCATGTAGGTAATCTAACTTCATTAATGCTGAGAATAATCTGAGAGTAAACACAGTTACTTTAGCAAAGCTTATTAAAATGGAATTTTTAAAGTTAAGCAAAAGTTATGATTTTAAGGGAGAAGCTACTTTTTTTAAATATTAGAAAATGTTTGGAAGTCATCTTGAAACTAAAAGTAATTAAAGATCAGAAGGAACACCAGGAATATAAATCATCAAGATTTGTTAACAGAGCAAACCTTAACGAAAAAGTAAAACATAATTTTCCGAACATTTTCTTCCTTGGAATACTTACTATGTAGCATTAATATAGACTGTTTTGATTATTGGAATTTAAGTTTCTTTAAACTTAAATTTTTAATATAGTAAAAACTTCTGATTGGGTGCCTTTGGTTAACTGTGGGATAACCCATTTATCTGTTGACTTAAGTAGAAGAAACTTAGAAGGAAAAATAATTTCCTCCTATAACAATAGTTCCTATTAAGTTAGTGCCTTATAATTTTCCAAGTATTTTCTTCTCAGTATAAGGTAGGTAGTGCAAATACTATTTTCATATTTCAGATGAGGAAACAGATTTTAAAAAGTTAAATGATTTGCCCATGATCACAGCAAACCACACAGATAGAAGATAGAAGTCCCTGAGAAATTCCATATATTGCGAAAAATAAAGTTTGATTTGAATTGTACTAAGCTGGAGATGTTTCTCCAGTTCTAAGGCACTTGAAAAATACTTTCTGAAGTAATCAGATTTAAAGAGACTGTGTAAG